CTAGCAGATCAATTAATTGAGGCTTTACATGTGTGCCGGTTCACACATGTTGCCCTCGACTTGCATGATCTAGACTGCAATAAAATGATATATGGGGCCTACATATGGAGATCCTATAGGGGGCTTTGTTTGGGTTCTGCCCTGTCTCTGAAGTGTCAGCCTGGTCGTACCAAAAGTGCAGCGTGAAAAACCGTGCCGATGTACGTTATAAACAGCCCAAATGAGCGTTATAACGCGTGATTTTTGTGCCTTTCTACTTTCTGACAAATGCAATGCATGTGCCACATGATGATCACAGCTGTCTCAGCTCTTTACTTTTAAAGCAGCAGATATATCTGCTGCTTGTTTGCCATGGGCCCCTACAAGGGCACACGGGATGCTCTGAAGAATGGTGTGCAGTTGAGGGCGGCCTTAGCGTAGGTCAAGAACAATGCGTCATCGAAGCCTGCCAAGTGGAAGCCTCCCTCGATCCCCCTGAAGACAGAAGTGGGAGTAGGAGGGCTGACCATCAAAACTTTGATGGACAGCGAGAAGCTCACTTATGAAGAGGCCGTGACTGTGTACTTGGCCTTCCAGGAAACGAAGAGAACGAGCAAGCCTTCGAGCCCGGCCTCAAGCAAGACGTCCAAGGGAACAGAGCCTGCTGAAAGTCCTGCTGAGAAGAACCAAGTCACCCCAAAGGCTAGGCCCAGCAGAGCAAAGCAGGCCAGTGAGGAGCCCCCAAAGTCCAAACGAGGACGAAGCTTGGAGGCCCGAACAGCCGAGCCCACACCAAAGTCGAAGCGGGGAAACACCACCGAAGCCGAGGTAGCCGAGCCAACCCCAAAGTCGAAGCGAGGAAAAACCGCCGAAGCCGAGGTAGCCGAGCCTGTCCCAAGGCTGAAGCGAGGAAGGGCACACTCAGACCTCTCGAAGCATGACACCGAAGCTGTGCCAGCCAGGCGAGTCATGCGCAAGAGTTCACCAGCCCCGCAGGCTTTGCCAAGCCCCCCCGAGCCGGCTGAGCCCGCGCAGCCCATTTCTGATGATGGGGACTGGGATGCCGGTGATGATGATGAAGATGATATCTGGTGTGAATATGAGTTGTGGCGCCAGGGACTACCGCAGCTGAGTGAGTTGGAGGCCGATCGCCAGAAGCACAAGGAGCTTCCGGCAGTGCAGCTGGTACCGGCCAGCCCGACGAGAGAGCTGCCGAAGTCTGAGAAACCTATGGCCTTGAAGGAGATGCTATAGTGAGTCATATATGATATTTTAATATAGAAACATGATGGTGAACAATCTGCAGGAGCAAGACAATGGGGACGACAGTCAGATGAGCCAGCTGTATTTTGGCTTGCAATGAATTGATGCAGTGGTCTACTTATATCAAACCATTCCAAATAGACGAATCGATCCTTGCTTGAAATGAGGTCCGGGACTACCTTCCTGGCTTCTCAAGCCAAGCTTCGGTGTCAGCAGGCCAGCCACGCAGCGCCTATCAGAACCGATTCACAGTCCACGTTGTCGTGGCTTCTCCGCATCCAAACATGTATAGCTACATGACTGCACGAGTGTCTGTGATCGAGATGTGCAATCATGTTCAGAACAACTTCCCTCGGCCAAGGATCGGTCCCTCAGCCAGCCAGCTCGGAGATATGCAGCAGCTCCTTTTGAGGGTGCAGCAGCTTGAGAATGAGAAAGCCGAGCTTGAAAGCCAAATCAGTGGCAGCAGTCGTGGGTCTGGGCAAACCGAGGTCAAACCCGAGCCCGCAAGACCTGTGTGGCCACGCCAGTGAGATCTAAGGAGCTTGAGTTCGCCAGCCCAACGAGATCTAAGGAGCCTGAGGCCACCCCAACGAGATCTAAGGAGCCTGAGGTCAGTCCGACGAGATCTAAGGAGCCTGAGGTCAGTCCGACGAGATCTAAGGAGCCTGAGGCCACCCCGACGAGATCTAAGGAGCCTGTGTTTCATTCCTCGGCTGGGCCGAGCTTGGCAGTCCTCAATGGTGTGACGGTCAAGACCCAGGCTGCTCCAGTGCCAAGGCCATCGGCCGCGGCCATGGGTGTCGACAGCCTTGGTGGTGATGACTTTGCAGAAGATGACCGGGTGAACTCGCAGACCCACCGCAAAGAATATATGAAACTGGCCGCTTGGATCAGCTTATATGGTTATGTTCTCGGTCGGTACAATATAATGTGCATCTGCAATCTAAGAATCGTCGCTATGAATCTGGTGCGTTGGCCGACTACCCCAACATGCTGGCATTGCACGAGGGCACGCTTGCTGCCACACGATTGCATCGACTGAGCTGTTATGGCGTGTGTTTGTGTGCACGTGTACGGAAGTGATCTATGTGCATGCTTTTACAGTAGATCTGTGCTTGCTAAGGAGAAGAACCGCTTGCTACGACAATGGATTTCCTGTGGCATGAACCTGCAAGCGTGTGAGTCTCGGATCCGGATCAGCAAGGAGCAAGCCCTTAAAGGCAAGAAAGTCTGGGCACAGATCCCAGTGAAAGCCATGTCCCTTCCCCCACATAACTTCAGCGAGACTCTCGGTGCATCCATCAGCATGCTGATCCTGCATGAGTAGCAGTTTGTTGTGTGAGAGCATGTGTGTCACCCGTTTGTTTGTGCTGCTGCATGAGAACCTGGTCCAAGGAACAAGGTGCAACATATCATTGCGACACAAGTGGGGGAAAAGGATGAACAAGCGCCGGATTCCTTAGAGGATACCTTGTATTGGGTTATCGTGCAAAGGACGCAGCCGGAAAGCACTGATTTTAGGAGCCTCGGATGCCTATAATACTAGCTCTGCTTATTGGATAGGTCGCTTGCATGCACCATGACTCAATGAAACCTTATACATATATTGTGTCGATCCCAGGATCAATCAGGATCTTTCTGCAAACTGCAAGTCCGGCACTGCGTTCTTTGATGCACCTATTCCTGGCGCTGATCCCGGCCTGCTCTCGAAGAAAGCCCCGGCCACCCAGTCGGCTCCGCTGAAAGCTGACGTCCTGAGGGCTCATGATCGGTTGAAAGACTCGATGAGCCAGATTGCAGCTAACGCGAGTTCGAATGCAGGACTGTGTAATCAATGTTTAACCATCAAGCTTTCAAGCCTGTGCTCCCACACCCCATGTGCTCAGTTGTGCAAGTTTGCATAAATCAACATGTATGCAGGAGGCCGCAGCAACCGCCGAGCGCAATCGGGGGCTGGTTCACGCAGGGCCGCTTCGGTAGCGGGCTCGCTTGCCACGACGGTCAAGACCAGCTTGATCAACGAGGTGTTTAACTGCCCCAAAGACAAGCATACCAAGTGGTGCCACCCATGGCCACCAAGGTTTCTACCAAGCCCTGCCAGTTCGAGAGCAGCAGGTGCCTCTTCAGCGATGGGGCCCCAAACCGGACCATGTAGAAGTTGCCCCTGAAGACCTGAATCGAGAGGATTTTGGTTCTGAGTGCATGTGGGGGTACTATATAGTGATGCAGTCGATCAGTTTAGCCCAGCAGCAGGGACCCGCTGCAGGAGCCACTCCATTAAGGGGTGATCAAGAATGCAGGATTGAATAGGATGTTCCAGCAGCCATCTGCATCGGCGATGTGAGAACACCAGGATAAGTAGCACAACCCTTGCAAGAAGAGTATTGCCAACATGCACAAACCCATAGCCGTCATTGCCACCAGGGTTGATAGGGGTGCATCCTGCTGTGTGCCTCGACCTGAGCTTCGGCACAGCGAACTCAACATAAGCAAGACCTCGAGGACCCATGATCATGTTTAGTGCATTTCAGACACATGATGGAGAAGGAAGCACACGGGAGTCCGATCACAGCCAGGCTGGAGTCCAATTTCAGCCGACGGGCTTCGTTTAATGCCATCCTTATTACGGACATACATATGGACAAGCCTATGTGCTACAAGACCAGATCCGAACAACTATCTTGCCACCTGGTAACAGAAAACCACACGTAGACACCAAGTCGTCTGTCACAGGGTCGGCCTCCAGATCCACCGAAGTTCCAACCAA